TATAAAGCTGAGTTCTATTTTCGGAGCCTCCAATTAATTTGGAGTGTTTAACCATATTTTCTTTTCTTATATCTGTTTATTAGGAATAAAAATGATGCGTTTATAAAAAATAAGTAAAACAAATAAATCAGAAATGGCCTGTCAGGTCCATTAGGCTTGGCGTTGTTGCAACCAATATTACTCTCAACTGAGTGTTAATGTACATGAAAATAAAGTATTGATTATCTAAGCCGAGCATTTCTAGTTTACGTAAGATAATCTAGATGTTATACAAATGTAATATTGTTTGATTTAAGTAGTTGCATAAACTGTCTGGATGTTACTTTATCTGAAACTTCTGTCTTGATTCATATATCGATTTAACTTCATAGCGTAGCATAATTACATTATATCAAATTATGTTCGCGAAACATCTCAAGAAAGTTTCAATGTCAAAATCCTAATTTTAACACATCTTTCCTAAGCAGGAAGCTTCAATCAATCTACGATTCAGATGCAAATATTTGGATTCGCAAAACGGGGGAAAATATGACGTGATATATGTATGTGGTAATGATTAATAAAATAATACAAACATATTTACATAAATTTACAATTCAGAATCTCTAATGAAGTTGTTGGCGGCAATTTCAAGACAATCCCTAGCGCCATCTCTCTCTGCGAAATTTGCATAGTATACAAATTTCATTATTAGACACCTGGAGCGATAATGGGGAGAACGGAAAGCAATTATACTTTTCGTTAATCAAAAAATAAAATGGACATTATCATGAAAATTATGTAAAAATACTTTGGTATTCTTAAAATGCAGAAGATTAAAGAAAAATCAATAAAAAAAACTTAAATGGCAAACTATATCTGAAAAATATTTATATTATTATCCCAGATTAAACAGATAGAATATTGTAGTAACGTTTCGCCACGATTAGTGTTGTTTGTCTCGTTAGTTTATTAACTAGTACGAGATCTGGTCTATTATGTGCTACGGTTTGTTTTGTGTACTGGGATCGGACCTTGCGAGCACAGTCCGATCCCAGTATAGATTGTAGTTCTAATTCTCAAGTATACTTTTAGGAACGTTTTAATAATAAAGGAGATGGTTTGTTTGGAGAAGTCCCAGTTTGTAAGATATCTCTTTAATCTAACAATCAGATGTAGTAAATGCTTGTTAGCCTCCGGTAAGTTGTTGGATGGTTTCTTGGGCTTGTCATCCATATCGGCATTTGCGTTTTGGACTTAAGGATCTTTGCCGATATATTTCAGGTTATTTTTTGTTAGTATAACCTGATACTGAATGGCAACTAATAAACCTTCTGTTTCAGGGAACATCTTTCCTGATGTTAACCAACAGTTCAACGCTATATTGTCGACAGTCTTGACTGACTTCAGTGGGATGTCGCCCGTGCACAGGTTTACCCATCTATGGTGCGCATTTTTTCGTCGTTAATAAGATGGTTTATGCCCATTTCTTATTCCCTCACTTTGATCGGTGTTGTGTCATATATTGCGCTAATCGCGCGATGTTGAGTAGATGTCTCAACCTACATCTGAAAATAAGTTCTTAATGCTTAATCAAGCAAGGACAGCTAGACGAACTATTGTGCAATAATAAAATAACAAATAAAAATAATCGAAGAATTTATAAAACAATAATAGAAAGTATTGAGTTGTACGACACTGAACTTTGTTCGTGAAAAGACAACCGGTGTGGACACCCGCCTGTCCACACCGGTTGTCTTTCCGGAGAATGCCTGAAAATGGATAGCCAAATAGATATAAAAATAAACTCCCCCATTAAAAGAAAAAGAGGTAGAAAGATGTCGAAGATGCAATGACCGCCAAAAATTTAAGAATAGAAGATTGCTTCGACAGAAACCGCTGGTAATTAGGATGCAAGAAATGGCGATAGCTGTAGGAGACTAGCCTATTTTTATATTTTTATTCATAGCCTTGATGTTTTTGATCGGCAGATGATATCAAGAATCACGTGGGTTCTAGGTGGATGACTGTAGCGACAGACAGAGAAGAATGGAAAAGGATTGGGGAGGCCTATGCCCAAAGAAGGCTAATTAGATAGATATATAGATGGCCTTGATGTTTTTGGTCATTTTGCATATCGAATCCTCCGGGCTGAACATTTTCTCTGACTATATTCAAAACTCAGCACTTGTCTAGCCCGAAATGCATACTAATATTATTAGAGAAAGTTTCTACAGTTTTTAGCATCTGACGAAGTGGTTTCGAGTAGAAGCCATTAGTTTCAAATTATCCATATTACAACAGATGATTAAGCTTCGCCAGTACAGTATTCTTCAACGAGTCTTCTTGAAATAGACCGCGGTTAACTGCGATATTTTCCGTTTCGATATTGTTGTTACCAGATTCTATTCACACGAAAAACTGACTAAGTCAAAAGACATATTTTAAAGGATAGACAAAAAGGTCAATAATGTGATCTACGGAAAAATAAGGAAAAGACAAAATATATGGGCCATAAATAAATGAGGCAATAAACAAAGTATTGATTAGATTTTTAAGACATATAGTTAGGAAAAAAAGTACAAGTTTCATATTATATTCATAGATAAATAATATATTAGAAAATTATATTACTTAAATTATCTGGTAGTAAAATTAACAAACAAATATTAGGAAAACCTAGAAATTACGAAAAATGGCTAAAAGTAGTTAGTGAACGTCTTGAAAACCTATTTATTATATATTATTATTCAATTTAAAAAATATCTAGAAATCTAAAAAAAGATTATATTTTATTACAATTATTTAAGGAACGTTTCTCTAATGATATGAGACGTGAATTATTTAAAGATATGTTAGAATATAGAGCTGGGAATTAAAATATTTAAAATAATTTTTAATCAAAACGGAAGGTGATATCTGGCTAAGAAAGACAAATAACGAAGTTTTGGAAATTATGGACAACCAGCAGTAACCACTATTACTAAAAAACAGATATTATAATGATTAGGCGTAACATTAAAATGAAGACTGATCCCAAAAATATCAATTTACTCCGAGAACCCTAACTTATCGTTCAATTCTCAGCCATGTTACCAATGTGGCACAGTATCAGCCGAATCTTCCTAGGTCTCCTTCCAGTAGTTCCAGCCCAATATTTGTTGCCTGTCCAATTCAAAGTCCCAATTCAGACACATTAAGTTATAGACCGTAACTAATGGAGCAAATCTACACACAATAACCCACTAGAAACGGCCCACTCATACATCTCGCAATACTCGAACTCATCTGAATATTGACAATTACAACCAGTACAAATGTCCATTCCTGAAAACAGTGCAACGTTTGCAGCAGCGTTTATTGCCGGTTTTAAATAATATTATAATATTTAATATATTGAAATAAATATCTATATTTAATGGATTTTTTTTACATACCTTCATATAATCTTTCTGCAGAGTTTTATAAATGGCTTCACATAATTCGGGAATAATTCTACCAAGAGCTTGTGCTGATATTATGGTAGAGAACTTGAGGCATTCATATGATCTACCTGTTGCAAGAAATCTTAATGTAGCTGCTAGTCGCTCATGTGATGTTATTGCTTTTCTCATGATCGTATCTTGCTTTTGAATTGATTGAGTAATCATTGATAGTAGTTTAAGGTAAGTTGCTTCATTCATTCTTAAATAATTACGGTAATCTAATCTTCAGGCTCTATATTCAATTCCTTTAACAAATTGATATGACTGTATTGGTTTCTTTTTAACAACCATTCTTTACACTACTTTTGTCTCGGTTTTCTTTCCTTTTCTTTGGGAATGACAAGACCTACTAGGTCTTCTTGTCATTCCCGGTCTGAGACTGTCATCAGGTTTGACGCTACGTCTTCTTCTTCTTCTTTTTATATAGACATGACTCTGTCTGTTTTTCAATGTGCCTCTAGTAAGTTGTCATTCCATCGTTTTCGTGGTCTTCCTACTTATCGTTTTGCTATTGGGGAACCGTCTCTTGCCTCTTTGCTACTCTATTTGTTGTCATTCGGCTTATATAATCGTTCCATTTTACTCTTCTATTTCTTACCCAGTTTTTGATGTTCTCCACCTTGCATCTATGTCGTATATCTATACTTCTAGCTCTGTCCCATAGTGTCTTACCATAAATTTTTCTAAGTATTTTCATCTCTGCTGTTTCTAACATCCTTTTTGTCCTTTCTGTGTCAGGTCTTGTTTCTGCCGCGTATGTCATTATTGGTCTGATGACTGTTTTGTAAATTATGCCTTTCGTTTCTTTCCCGATATTTTTATTTCTCCATGTTGTTTCATTTAGGCAGCCTGCGGCTCTGTTTGCTCTATTTACCTGATCTTGACGCTACGTGTATGGCTAAATTCGATTTATACCTGAACAGGTACACTTGCTACAAGTTTACCTGAACCTAACAGGTAGACCGGAATGTGAGTGGCCGGTAAATTATTTCAATTAATTGTAAGTTAACCTAGGTTAACTTATAAATCATCCCTTAACTCTCAGTTCAATTAGACATTTTATGGTCCGACAAAGACGTTGTATAGAAACAGGATAATTTTACTTCGAAATTTGGCTATAAATCTCAATAATATTTCCTTTGGTTTTCGTTACGTTCTGTTCGTTTCATTTGTTTTTTAAGTTCTTTTATGTAATTGTATACAATACAATTCTTGTTTAATCTTAAATTTTCTTTGGTGTTTGATTAGTCCATAATAACTTATGTTTATTATTCTTTATCAATTTACCTTCCCTAAATTAGGTTGTTGGTATTTATCATGTTTCCCATCTAAAAGTGTTGCACCAATTATAATCCAAAGTTATAGTGACCAATACAAAAGTTTTGTACCACATTTCCAATTTTAGGGTCTGCTCCTGATGCCACATGCTTAGTTTTGTTTCGGTTTCCGTTACTCTTTGCTGCGTTGGAGTGTACAGTGAAGATCTAGTTGGTTTTATATGTGATAAGTCCCATTGGATAAAAATTATTAGTCACTTTGTTATAAAAATTATTTATTTATAAATATATTAAAAACATTTACAGAACAATCCGAACTACAACTAGCTAATTGTAAAACGTTTTTGTTTTCTGATTTTCCAGCTTCTCCAAACAATGGTCTGAATGCCAACCTTTTAACCGTTAAATTGTGAACAGGCCTGCAAAAGACACATATAATAATAAATAAAAAGTATACAACTATCGGTTTCTAAATTTTAACCTGAATTAGTAAGCAAATTAACCTGAAAATATTATACAACACCGTTGTCTAATATTATCAGGTTAATTTGCTTAATCTGGTATCATTTCTTTATTATCTGTTCATTATTAAATAGATTATAATATCTCTAAAAATGTGAAATCGAAATCGATACGCCTCCTGAAGACCCCCACAGAAGACTTCCAGTGTTGTTTCGAACAACAAAAAATAAAAAATTTGGGAAAAAATTTTAAAAAACGCGCTTAGAAAAGGCATATTATGTTGCCAAAAAAGAAATCACCATATTTTGATAAAAATAAACACAAAACTGTTACTCAACAAATAAAATATAAAATCATGGAAATCCTAATATAATTGAATTAATATCAAGAAACAGAAAATATACGTTTTAGAACTTGTAATACGGGATTTGTCTTTTTAGTTCTGCATATAGCCGCTTAGAAGGCGCCACCAATAAAACCTTCCGACACAATGTTACCTCAATCTTTTGTTCACATGAATCGAGAGTTTCATTGCGATACAAGTCGTGTAGATACAGTGAATTTTTGAAATTCATTCGTCGAAAAATTAATCTTAGCCGAGAACATTTTCGAGTAATAATTACTGAAAAAAGCATAGAAAATCATTTAAAATGAGAATTTGTAAAGTTATTTGTGTTAATTTTTTGTCGGTATGTTGGCATTTTTTAAGAAAAAAAAATACAGTCGCCTACGACTCTTAGAACCCGGTTAGCCCTTTTTTATTTTTGGATTTTACTATTTCAAAAACTGAATTCATTAAAAGTCGCAATAACTCCGGTTCTGATCAACGACAATTGATGTTTTTTTTTAATTTGGGGTACTTTTTTCGGTAGCCTTTTACTTTTCGATTTTATTATTTTAAAAACTGAATTTATAAATTTAAATTTATAAAAGTCACAATAACTCCGGTTCTGGTAAGCGAAAATTGATGTTTTTTTAATTTGGGTTACCTCGTTGCGTAGACTGTAAAAATTCGATCAGTTACATTGTGAATTGTTTATTTAAACCAAGTAATTTAAAATAAATATTTATTTCGCAAAATTTTACTTTTTTTATTAGTATTAGTAGAAAAATTTATGAAATAATAGGTAACGTAAATATTTATGTATTATAGGTATAAATATCTTTTAGTCGATCCTACAATTAAATTATTTTTTACATCAAATGCGCAAAATTTAACATCGGTGCCTCTATTGACCGGGTAACAAACCTTGTTTATTTACATTCAGACATTGTCTGAATCTAGAGACATTTGTGTTTGACACTCCTAGGAGCATTAGTAGCAGGTCCTAGTTCAGACTCAACATGAGTTCATTTTCAGCGTTTGTATGACCGCTACCGCGCAAATGCATGATCCCCGCGGTTTTATACTCGAGGTAATTATCTTATTGTACAGCTGGTTTCTAAAAAGTGTTTTGAGCAGTGTATTTGATTGGTCTGACATTATATTATATTTATTATGACAGACAAGTAAAAAAATATACAAACAAACAACAAAAAATTGATAAAATGCGTTAGGCTTTCACGGCCATCGTCAAACTTGTTAGGCTGTTGTCTTCTGAGATTATTTCTCGACGTTTCGCCAACACTAGGAGTTGGCATCTTCTGGAGATGTTACTGCTTCATTTGTAAGCTGAAACTGACGCCGCGTTGTACTACGGAGGCCATATTTATATTTTCTACTCGCCTCCCCTCCACTGGTTTTGGTGTGAGTTTAATATCGGTATCCATGATTTGTTGATTTCGAGTCCTTCTTCCATCCGATAAATTATTTGGGTGCTTATATATTTCCACCGCTTCCCGATACAACCGAGGGTAGTACTGTGATGTCTTATCCAGCATCTGCGTTTCTTCAAACAGTATCTGATGTTCTCCGCTTCCCAAAACCTGTTCTGCAACGGACATGCCGGACAACGGACACAAGATTTGTCGATGTGTCCTAAACGACAATGGCTTTTACGTTCATTTATCCTTGTGTTTGTGTGTCTTTTCGTGATTCCCACATATACCATTGCACATGTACATGGTATTCGGTATAATCCGGCCGTTGCTAATGGGTCGCGTTTGTCCTTCACCGATTTTAAACAGTCCTTTATTTTCTTTGTAGGCTTGAAAATGGTCTTCACATTGGCTTTTTTAAGTATTCCCGCAGTTCTGTTCGTTACCCCCGATATATAGGACAAGAACGCTTTGCCTATACATTCTGTCTCTTCGTCCTTTCTTCTAGAGATGATGTTCAACGCTTTATGTATTTCTCTGGTGCTATAACCGAAGAGATGAGCGCTTTTTCAATATGAAGAAGTTCCCTTTGCAGATACTGTGGAGAATCTGTGAACCAGTGGAGGGGAGGCGAGTAGAAAATATAAATATGGCCTCCATAGTGCAACGCGGCGTCAGTATCAGCTTCCAAGGCAGTATCATCTCCAGAAGATGCCAACCCCTAGTGTTAATAAAACGTCGAGAACTAATCTCAAAAGATCTAACAGCCCGAACAGACAGCCTAACAAACAAAAAATTGATTACATAATATGTTTTTGATCCTTCGATGTCGGCTCTTCCTATCATTGCGAAGCAGAATTTGCCAAGCGTTGGATTGTTCACCCATAGACAGGGAACGTGAGCTGGGTTTAGATCGTCGTGAGACAGGTTAGTTTTACCCTACTGATGACTCGTCGTTGCGATAGTAATCCTGCTCAGTAAGAGAGGAATCGCAGGTTCGGACATTTGGTTGACGCACTTACGCCTCTAAGGCCGTATCCTTTCTAGTCAAAGGTGGCAACGATATCTCTTGGAGTTCCGAGAGTCAAAAGGCTCAAAACAATGTGACTTTACTAGGCAATCGTAGTTCGCTACGATTGTCGCACGAGCCCTTATTTCCGTTGAGATTATCGGTTTACGGTGGGATCGAACCTTGCCAATAGACCAGATCTTTAGACGGACGAACATGCGTATTATAATCTTTTCTTACGTGGCACGGTGTTGTACCTGGTAGAGCAGTTTCCACGCTGCGATCTATTGAGACTTAGCCCTCAGCTTAGTGATTCGTCTTGTCAGTTAGACGAGACCCCTGGTATTAAAAAATAAAGAAAATCGTTTTTATGTTAATTCATAAATTTTAATAATTATTAGGGTCTAAATTTGGATATTATTTTGAATTCGTGCATTTTATAAAGAGTATATAAATGATGTCGGTCAGATAGCCAAGCGGACTGGGCGGCCGGATTCTCATTCGCCTCACTGCGAGTGGTTCAGCGGATGTGAGTTCCATCCCCAGCTTGGTGTAGAGAAAACAAAAAAGGAAAGGCAGCAGTTTAAAATTCTAAATGAATCTGCGGCTCAGACTAGAATATACTGGTGTCTGATCGGCCTATGGTGGAGCAGTACGGCAAGAGATAAGGGCTGGCGGCTCGGTGATACTCCTCCATAGATCCCTATCGGAAGGGCGTGTGCCGCCTAAATATCAGGTATATATATATATATATATATATATATATATATATATATATATATATATATATATATATAAACTAGCTGACCCGGCCACGGGTTGCTGTGGCTAAAGTTTTTGTTCTATTACATTATAGTAAACAATCTAAGAGGAACAATAAGAGAACATCAGTCACGGAGTCCACTATGCTTTTTCACACAGATGGTATTTGTAAAAAAATATGGTGATATCCTTATTTGACTTTCTACTACTATAACCCTTTAGTACAATGAAATTATTTACGAACAATAACGAAAATGTTAACGTTGGTATACAAATTCACTGGATTGAGATTTGAAGGGGAAGTACGTTGAACACAATTAATTAAAATGTTCTTACACTTGATATTAAGCAGAAATCAATAGGTACAAAATAAAAATTTATCAGATTTATTATTTCCATTTAATTTTATAACAAATATAAGTATATTACAGTATAATACAGTAAATAACATGTGGCGCTTAAACTCATGAATGAGGTAGGCAAGGCAGACAGTCTTAAACTTTTTAACATTAATATCTATTTTTTTGAATTATAAATACTTTCAATTTCAATTTAATTTAACACCAATCGGTGCACAATGTTTTTGGTTAACCTGTCTTTAGCTAACCCAAATAGATTCGACGGTTTCCCAACACGTGAACACGCAACATATAGTTGCCCATGAGAAAAACATTAATTTTCCAAATCTAAACCAGAAATGGACTTTGTTTGACCTTGAGATTTATTTATAGACATGGCGAAAGCTAAACGAATTGGAAACTGTAGCCTTTTGAAGGGTATGGTAGAATCTGATGGTATCATCGGAATACGTGGCAGCAGGACCACTTTTCTTTTAAACTTCCCAGCCAAAATGGTTGCTTCAATAATGTTTCCGGTGATCTTTTTGATGACCAAACGCGTACCGTTACATAATTGAGGTGGATTCAAATTACGGAGGAGAATAATAGGGGAACCAATCTTTAATCGAAGATTATGTGGTGGCATTCCAGGGATATCTAATGAATTTAAAAATTCAATCGGAAAATTTACACTTTCATTTTCATCAACAACAGTATCGATTGATTTAAAAAACATCAGATCACCTGGTAACAACTGTTGTATCTGGAAGTTAATTTCGTCAACATCAACGTTTTTGGCTGCCAAAATCGCCCGTTGACTAAGCCATTCATGATTCAAATAATTATTCTGTATATCCGGGAAAATACTCTGAATCAATTCATTTTTATCTTGAACAACAGTGCAAAAATTGTCTGGTAGTTTAATGCATTGCGTATTTGGTTGCAGTTCTATTTTACCGTTCCCTATATCTAGATCCCAATATGTAGATCCGAAATCGTACTGACAGTGTTGTCTCGCTGTGTAATTTTTATAGATCATTTGTGAACTGGATCACCAACCATGATAACAGCAACCTCATCAACAGTTGGA